TTTGACGCACAACTCGATTATGTGTGACAGATAAAGAAAACGGTGATTGTGTTCAGTTGTGTCCTGCCAGGGTAAAATCCGCAGCAGACCGTTCACCGTGGGGCGCCTTGAATGACTCATCAGTTTCTCTGAAGCGAACTAGTTACTGTGAAAGTCCCATCGAGATAAGCGTTTTGTAATGAGGCTCAGTAAGATGTCGTTGAATCGTCGGGTGATTTCCGCTCTCCATGGCGAAGCGACTGGTAGAAGCGAGCGAGCGGCGGACAAACCCAGGATGTCTGTCTTTATGCAATGCGCCGAATGTTTTGTGGGCGTTCCTCATTTCCTGTTATTTTCACAAAATAGCGTGACACTTTGGTGAAATGCGTACACCGAAGGAGCCTGGAAATCCAGTGATTTTCCATTCACGTTTTCCATTTTAGCTCAATGCCACCCTGAAAGCGGCCCAATGTCCATGAATACGGGGTTGAGGCTCTGCGCCGCTAAATTTCGGAGACGCGTCCCGAATAATTCGCTCGTTATCCGGTCCGATAAGGCGTTAAAGCCGTCGCCTTGTGCGCCACAGAGCTGCGGGGCCTGGTAACCCGCCATTACGAAGGCTGGCGGCCGACAGCCCGGTCGATTTACAGTTGTGCGTGCCCCGAGTGCGGGTAATGGAATATAGCCAGGGGTCAGGTCATGCCAAGGCGAGTGCGCGTTGTCCATACCGGGTGAACGCGGCCGGCTTGTGACGACATAGGGCGGGGGTTAACTCGATCAACGGAATGGGCTCTTCGTACAGGTCTGCAGTGTGCGGCTGGGGTTGAATACAAATAGCCTGACGTGGTTACAGCTGTTCACTGCCAAACCGTTTCCCCGAACAGCTGATCGGCACAGTAGGTCACAACCTGGAGCCACATGACCTGAAAAGCACCGCTGCTGCTGTGTGCACAGTACACCCACCGGTTTTCACCATTCGACCCGTGCAGCTGAACGGTACCGATGGCTTCATAGGCCGCTATCGTGAGTCCACGGACCCGCTGCCAGCCTCTCACGGCTGTGGCACCCATTCCGGTCACGGAACGGGCATTAGCCGGCCTTGTGCCGTATATCAGCGGCCTGCCAGAGCAATGGTCCGAGCTCCAGACAGCGCCCTGTGACGGGCGGTGACGGTGGAGCCCCGCCACCTGCCCCTATCCGGGTCCGTGTGTTTCCGTGCACCCATATTGTGCACTGTGCACGCACCGTGACGCCGTGCACCGGTGCACGCCAACCGGTGCACGCCATGTAGAACCGATCATTGCTAGGCGTCCCTGGTAAAATTACCGAGCGCGTGCGGGCCGGCCGCTCGCGCTTACTCAACGAATAATTGACTGGGCCGCGTCTTTCGGCGGGTGCCGGCCGGTCGAGCTGTGGCGTAACGCGCGCGCGCGGCCCGGGCGTTGAACAACACAATCCGGCCACTTTCATCAGCGCGCTCTGTGCCGACGCATAACGTATGTCGCGCACGCGCCCGGGCGCCGCCGGAGACGGGCCGACGGGCGGCGATTAACCCGCTCCCTGGTGGGGTCTGTTTATAACGCGACCTGGTGGGGGGGGGGGGGCTATTTTTTGCCCCCCCTCGTATCTCCGAAACTACTGGACGGATCCGCAAAATTCAAACGGCGTTCGAAAGGCCTGTCAAATTTGTTGAAGGAAACCAAATTTCATTGACCTCGGGGTCACCGATGACGTCACAGGTCAGGTCAAAGATGAAATGTTTCACCGTTCACGGGTCATCTAGGGAATGCGCTATAACACCGAAGAAAACGCATTTTGTCGAGAATCAGCCATAGGGCGTCAGTTGCCTAGTTCAAATGTTGCTATAAGAGGTCACTGACATTACCAGGTCAGGTCACAGGTCAGGTCACCAAGGGTCACAGGTCAGGTCACATGAACCTTACTTTAGGTACTAAGGTTGTGCGATGCATGTTTTATGGCCAATTTTTCATTTTCAACTCAATGGTGTTGGTTTTAAGACTATCAGGTACGGCTTAGGTCACTTTCTGGTGAAGGTCAGGTCAAGGTCAGGTCAAAAAAGGTCAAATTTTAAAGTTGTTAGTTTTGCATAAAATGGGTATTGATTCGATGCAGCTCGTCACGGGGAGTCTAATGGTGGTCTTTGTTTTGCGCTACGGGGTCTAGAATTGCTAAAAATTGAGTTTGAAAATTTGACGTCATCAATTTTGAACAGTTTTTTCACTATAACTTCGCCAAAAAAGAGGTATCAATCTCAAATTTGGTATGTAGATAGAAGGGGGTAAGAGCTATCACATATATTCCTGTTTTTGCGAAATTCAAAAAACGTTTTTTATTTTTCGGCTATTATATTCAAAAAATCTATTTTTTTATTTTTGGGGGTCAAAATCCAAAAATTTCAAAAATCCGAGATAACAGTTTTGTAGCCCTGTCAATTCTACAGCTTTTATGTCGATATCGTTTTTCTGTATTTGCAAAGTTATAGGCCTGACAGCTCTTCCCGCGAAACCCTTTTTTGGGTCGAAAACGGCAGAACATGACGTCACTCTGACGTCATTTCTGGCCAACCTATCATAGCCTTTGGAAAAAATTATGGTCACAATGTGTTAAATTGATGTCCGGGAGGGTACTGAAAGTTTGGTGACGATCGGCGCAGCGGTTCTGGAGATATATCGAAAAGTCTGGAGGGGGTGGGGGCAAAAAATAGCCCCCCCCCCCCACCAGGGCGCGGTATACACACCTGACGCGCGTGGACGGGCCCTGGTGGACGACGCACGGTGCCCCTGGGCGCGGAGGCAGATGCCTCGTTCACTATGGACTGACGGTGGCGGTGAAGGGGAGCGGGGAACTGTCGGGCGGGCAGACTGTTGGTTTGACAGGCCCTCAGGCATATGTCACACTCTGACCGGTCACGCTGCCGTCGTTTTCTCCGCGATAGGCCGTCTCCTACCTCACCCATCCCCGAGGTGTTGCGACTACGTCAATCTCTGAGCCATCACAGCACGGCAGATGATTTTAGCGACGCCGACGCCTGATAGCCGGAGACCACCTGCGTCCATTGCGATGCCAACGTGCCGCCGCGACGCCGTACGATAGGGAGCGACCGATAACAGTCGCACCGCGCTGAGCGACCCGCCTGCTGAGCCAATATCGCTGGTATGCGGTGGTTTGATATCGGCGGATACGGCGTTCACTACACCGGAATTACAGGTCTGAGTTTGAAGCAAATACTTGGTGTATAGAACCTCAGGTTTTACGTATAGTGTAAATAAAATAAACGGTGTATAGAACCTCAGGTTTTACGTATAGTGTAAATAAAGTAAACGCTTCTTTTCTTTCAACGAGGTTATTCATTCACAACGGTAAACGTTTTCTTTTCCTTCCGTTAGGTTTTTATTCGGAATGCTTGCGTGGCTGAACGTACCTAACTTCCTACCCACATCTGAGAACCTCGGTCTATTTTACCAAAGCCATCACCCTCCTACGATCAGCCGAGCCGGTATTATTTAGCAGCTGTGTTACCTCGGTCAAGGCCTGCCGGTGGGTATGGGTGCGCTGGGCCAATTATCAATAATAAACGTTGCATGGAAGTGGCCGCCCTGCAACGGGACGCGGCCGCTTCTCATGTTTAACCCTAGAACGCCTAGGGGGGGGGGGGTTGTATCAACCCCCCCCCCTGAGGTTTTTTCGAAGTGCACGCTAAACGGCTTGTCGTAGCGGGCTGAAATTTTCAATACCCTCTGGGGCAACCTTTGCGCATCTTTTGCCGAAAAAAAAATGATCGGGTCATGTCAGGTCACGGAGTTATGACGTCATAAGAGGTACAGCCTCCGGCCGACAGTTACCAAACGTGTGCGCCGAATCCCTAGGTTTTCTGCCGGTGATACCCACATTGTTTGATGGATCATGATGAAACTTCCCATGCATGTTGGGGCAAGCATTGGCTATCGTATGGTGCAAGAAAATTGACCGGGTCAGGTCAGGTCACGGAGTTATGACGTCATAAGAGGAACAGCGTCCGGTACTATTTTTGAAAAGCGCCCGAACCACTATTTTGCTAATTCTTGTCACCTCAATGGGAATATGCAGCAATATTAGCTTCTATAGGGAGCAAATGGACCTCCCAAATCCGAAAATACAATCAGATTTCAAAAATTTAAATTTTGATTTTTCGAATTTCTGCCGCCGACTGTGACCTTCCCGACTTCCGGCGCTCCCAACGCGCCATTTTTAGAGCTAGGGAAACGAAATACATACCAAACAATAGAGAATTGATCAAGGAACACGATAGTGAAGGTTTCAAGTCGATATCTCTCACCGTTTTGCCGCAATCGCCGCGGAAAGTTGAAAAAAGTCTATTTTTCCGAAAATTTGACCTTTGACCGGTCAAAAGTAGGTCAAATGTTGACCTAGGACCAAAAAATATACCACCAATCGCGAGATCTCGTTGAGAGCAATCCGTTGGTTTTTTCCGCTAAGCTCTACGACCTTCCGTTTCGAAACGCCAGGGGGGGGGTCGTAACAACCCCCCCCCCCCCTGGTCGTTCGTGTTATGAGAAATGGCCTGGTCGTGCGAGGGTTAACGTCGAACACAAGCGGAAGTGAAGTGCATGTTGCATGCGGGTGTTTTATAGCCTGGGATCTGAGAGTGACCTTAGGTCCCTTCCCTTCCGGCCGAGAGCATCTGTTCCAGCGTCGAGGCCCAACCAGAGGTGTCTCAATGCGGGAAAGGAATGAATGTGTGAGATGCATCGTGCAACATTTCTCAAGGTGCTTCACAAGCATGTTCACTGTGACGAAATTACTGCACTGTCGTGTTGGTAGTTATGTGATGCGAATGCCGCCGGCGCGCTGTTATTTTTCTGTTGCGTGTCTCATGTCTGGCCGCTGCAACGACTGTATTTTTTCTGTTGCATGGTGCATGGCTGAGCAGTGAGCGTTGATGACTGTTATTTTTCTGCTGTGTGTTTGGCCACTGACGATTGTTTCCTCGCTCCCCGCAGACCGGAGCCGTCAGGGGCCCGTCTGGCTGAGAGTCGACCCTCCGAGTCACCCCGCGCCTGGGTTCCGTTCGACAGGTAAGACCCCATCATCAGGGACGGTACACGCGAGCCAGGCGGAGCTGATCAGCGGTCCTGGGCTTGCGGAAGGAGGGGATACACACACGCACACACACTGAAAACAATTTCACCCGAAGCTGGCGAATTAAGCGTTGCTCTGCGGGTGGTATATGTGTATTAACTCGCCATATCCAGATTCTAGCTAGAGGGTAAGCAGACTTGCCTGCCTTATTACTCGTAAATATGCACTGCACCCACAGTCTGCAGTAAGGTAGCTACCCAGCACCGGATATTGTCCCCGCGTGTGTCGAGTCATTGACACAGCCCTCACTGAAAGAGTTGGAACTACTCGAGGTATCGTAAACACGTATCCGTGGATGGCGAACCTTTACATAACCTGCCCTGAAGGAGTTGGATCTACTGTTACAACTAGATGGCGTTGTCTCATACAGTTTTGAATTACAACAATTTTTTAACTTTTTTTTGAACCAATTATATATTGGCACATTGTTTGGCGGTTTCCAAGTGGGGGCGAAAGTACAATTGTTAGGGTGCACGTTTAAAACCTCTGCAATATTCATCACGGGACGATTGGCAACGCTTTTTCTTCCGAAACTACCTAGTGAAACCATTTAGATTCTTATATAGGTCACGAAAGCAGCGGCATCACATATTCTTGATTTCGGGCGGTCTGCATGACTGCCGGTGACTGAGTCTGGTCGAAATTTCTATGGGAATTCGATTTGAGCTTTCCCACCGATGTGAAACTTTCTCACCGATGTTTTCTAGGTGTGAGATTGTTATAATATAGATATTTTCCCGCAAATATGGTCAAGCGTGGGAGTTTTTTTTTGGCCCTCGTGACTTGGTCGGCGAAGGATAGGCGTGGAGGGTAATCCCATCTCCTAGGGGTTTGTGGGGCGCTGCTGCCAGGTAGGCGTCGATGAATACCTTTCGATGGAGGGGTCGCGAGCCACAGGTGCGCGAATAGTCGTGGAGGGTTACTACTCTCCAGAGTGAATTGCAAAAGTGTTATGTCCTAAATTGACTCCTGGGAGGGTGGTTAAAAATGGTTGCGGATAGGGGTACCCGCGAGACACCGGTTTACTCGCCAGTTTTGGGTGAAATTGTTTTCAGTGCATCGGAGAGTGGGCTCGACGGACTGATCCGTGGGGGTGGTGGGATGGGGGGGGGGGGGTGAGGGCGGACATGCGACGACGGATGAGTCATGGCCGGGATATGAAATTGCATTGCAGCGCTGGATTATTTGGCTCTGCCGTTTGGTTTGATAATCTTATAAGATGGTGATCCTAGGGTAAGCGCAGATTTTCTTTCATACAGACATCTGAATTCAATATCACCCAGTCCTGTAATTTTGGATGGTTTCGGATAAATCGACACCTTTTTTTTAAACCCCACATTTGTTCTCCGGTGAATTTCAGACAAGTTGGTTAGAGACCTTCAAAAAAGGTACAATCACTCGATTTTTCTCAAGTTTGTCTGTCTAGGCAGATAAAGCAATACCAGAACAGGCCTACGAACACACATATTTGATCAGGATCGGACGATTGGACACTTTTAAAAGGAGATCTTTCGTGCCTCCCGGAATTTCACGGGAGAGCAGATGTGGGGTTTAAAAAAAGGTGTCGAAATGGCCTCGATTAGACTTCATCAAATACCGTACGGCGTACCGGCTTCTCAGCATGCAACAGATCAAACGAAACAGCTACTTATCAAATGTCAGATGCATTATCGGAATTGCGTGCGTCACCCCGGCCATTCTTTCCTTCTTTCCTGTCGAACCTACACACCGGCTTCGCTCAATAAGGAAGCCCCTGGCCGCTGCCCTGTTTCTGCAAATTAGCTGGCTGTTGTGAATATGCCGTCCGCTATTTCTGGCTGACCGCTGCTCAGTGTCGGTCCGCCCGACACGGCGGAGCCTGCCGCATGTGACGTATCGATCAAGGAGCCTCCGCCCGGGCTGGCCATCCACTGCACAGTGCACAGACCCGCTGTATGGATATCAACGCGGGCCACGGCCAGACGTAAACGGATGATTGCTGATTGGTTTCGATCTGGGCGCCGAGGTCACTGGATGCGTACCGCGCCGGGTCGCGGGGTGTCGGGTTAATGGAAGCTGGCACTCGGGGGTACGGGTCGTTGCGTTGTGTCGTTTCGACACTCCGCCGACACGCGCCAGCCATTTGAGTTCGTGTAGATGGGCGTGTGCTTGTGTTTAATGGCGCTAATTTCTGGCGCTTGGTGTGTGGACTCTGGTGGCTGCACGCTGGTGGTTTTGCCCTGGACAACCACCTCAAAGGTTGCCTACTTCACCGATGAGTCTCATTGATTTTATTTTATTTTCAAAACAAAATCGATTGAAACCTATTAAACTGCCCATTTAAGTTCATTATCTAACAATTCACAGGTTTGCCTGATCATGGATCGTCATAATTTAATTTTTAAATCAATGATATGAAAAGATGAGGTCAAGGCCTTTTTCCGTTCAGAGATGTGAATACCTATCGTATCTAGGATAACTGCTCGACCCAGTTTAGGAGCTATCTGTTCTCCCCAACCCCTCATTTTTCCTCTTTCGTGGAGGCGCGGTAAGGTCACGAACACGTTATCATGGGAACTTTTGTCACCACTACAACTGTGTCATGAGACCAATTGTTCAACGGTCAATGTCTGCAGAATTCGGTGGCGTTTTTCCTGACCAATTGGCTTTATCTCGACCACACACGGTGATTTGGAGCCCCAAATCGGCCCGGCCGAGTGACATGCTTGGGGAGCACGACTAAAATCTGGTATTTGCGGTCAGTCAGTTGATGTACGAGCTCGACTGGACCAGTATGATGTCATTCGTTCGGTGTTCGGTAGGTGAATGCGCTTTTTGGAATGTGTTGGCTTATTGTAGACTAGACGACATGTCTTGCATAATCGTTGTCAATAAATTGGTTAAACCAAACGTATCCGTTATATCATTTCCCCCCAAATATCTGTTTACGGTTTTCGGTGACCTATATGTATCTTTAGATTATATTCTTTGCATTCAACACTGCTGTTAATTCTCACAGCCTTCACATATCAGTCACTGCCAGTTCTGGTGCAAGCGTCAGTACCCCGCGCCTCCCATGTCGACACCTCAGCTGACCCCTGAACCCCTGTATCCCCAGGTCGGCCGAGGCGGCTCCGGACTGGCACCTGCCGCGCGTCTCCAGCCCCAGTCCCAGCCCCAGCGTGGGCTCCAGCTCCAGCGCCAGCTCCGGGCCCGGTCAGAGCTCCAGCTCCGCAGCCGAGGTCGGCTGTCCACACGAGGGTCTGCTGATCGACCTCAGCGAGTGAAGGAGTGTCGACGGAGAGACGGACTTAGTGAGACACAATGTGAGACTTTGTGAGACACAGCGCGTGAGGCTACAGACTCTGAGACAGTTGACTCAGTGAGATAGCTGACTCAGTGAGACACTGAACTCAGTAAGACATTGTGAGTAATAGAGCATCGCAATGAGACTCGTCTCTGAGACCTCTAAGACACGGTGATTCCATGTGAGACAGTCTGAGACAGGATCTGAGACACTGACCGAGTCTGAGGCAGCTCCGGTCGAGGAGACTCCCACCAGACTCGTGCCGTCCAGTGTCCGTGCGCCCGCACCCAGACCACACCACACAGTATGACCGCGGCCCGATCAGGAGCCGGTCCTGACATCATCTCCGCCCGCGATGGAAACGCCCAGACGGTAATCTGCCCACCTCATCAGCTGAGCTCAACTCACCGGTCGACTCGCCGGTCGATTCGCGAGTCATGAGTCATGACTCATACCGGAGAGGCGAGTCGACTCCGCTGTCTGCCGTCACGGCGGGGTATTGTGGCGGCGGTAGACCAACAGCGGCGTCTCCAGACGCCGTACAGGCGAATCGATGCCGGCCGTGGCCTTGCCAACACCTGTGAGGCGTGATCGAAGTCTCCAAACGGTTCTCAAGAGACAATAAAGCTATCCTCCACAGCTGGCGACCGACGGCGAGACGGGCAGTGAAAGGAAAATCTAAAAACTGCAGCCGTGGCGTAACGCAGGACCGGCGCTCATGCGAACATTCTGCAGCGCCCGCCAGCCTCTGGACGCGTATTTCCCTCGAGGGGTGCGCGGTGTGGGAAAGACGTGGGAACTCTGTGACCGAGCTTCGCTGTAAAGACGAGGTAACTGGCAGTTTTCCTGTTCTGAGAGCGGTGTGTGCACGTGCAGTGCTCGACGGCGTTCCTCTGTGATGTCGGGCCGTCCCCGGTGTGCTGCTATAGATTATGCGATAGGAGCCATGTACCGCCCCTGTTCAATGTCGAAATGTCTGCTGGCGTCGTGAGCTTCTTTGAATGTCGGGGCGTCGTCATAGACTTGGAGAGACAAACCTACGATCTAGAACGAATTATGTCGCGTGTTGCATGCGATGCTGTGATGAAATCGCACTCTGCATCTATCATTTTCCATATTTGTTTCGTATTTATAATTTGACTATTAACTATTCCCTTTTAGCACATATTTTCGCTGAAGTGATGTATGAAGCTGGCCCCTAGGTAGCCGCTGCAAGCTTGCCGTGGCTGCAGACTGGCAATGCCGACTCTGCGACGCCGGAGCTGTCATGGTGACTAGTCATTACCTTTAAGCTCCTTTTGTGGGGATTGGGATGCAGTTTGCAGTCGCGACAACCCACACCCGTGTCTCCCAGCTACAGTCGCGGGACAGTTTCGCGGAAAATCTGCACCTCTACCCATCTGCCATTCCTGCCACGCCGCCTGTGTATGGATGAGATGGTAATTCTGTCCTGAGTCAGCGGTACCGCGGCGTGTATTGTCACGTTCTGTGCCGATGTCTGAACTGTTCTGGAGCGTTCCTCACCCTATCCGACCATCAACTGACGTCTTGTGCCGCACCTACGTCTATTCGCTCTTGACGATTTGGCGCGTCAGCGCTCTTTAAACTGACGTGACCTCCTCTGTTGCATTATGTATCCAGCATTCAGTGAACGCAGATGATGTGATAATTTCGGCGAAGCATAGCCTAACGCCGATGTCTGGCCGCCGTTTGACGTTCGCTCTTGCTGGAGTGAATTCTAACTGACTCTGACTGCTATCTCGTAATTCGCAATGTCCCGATACATAAAACTTCAGCCGCGCACACGATGTTTGCAAATATGTGGAGGCCTCGCTGTTCGCTGTTGAACGTTTTCAGTTTCGGCTTGTGATCTGTAAAAGACGTCGACTCGAGGACAGGGTTAACTCACATAGATAACTGCCATGTATACGGCTAGCTGGTGAAACTTTGACTGGTCTCTGATCGTATGGGTGGACCAGAAACTTCAGTGGACACACAACAGTGGCTTATGATTCCAGTCCACATAAAGTGGACAGTGTCATTTCTCAGTGGATGCGAGCGATGTCCGTGAGTCGGCTCTCCTGACGGCCAGGCCAGTGCATCACTATACTTCTCATGTGTTTCGCAAACGTTCCTTGTCGTGCACTTGCGCTCTTTCACGTGCATGTGGCGGGGAAGTACTTCCTGTTGCGCCATGTAACGATGTGTGTGGACATTTGTCGAGTGCTCTTGTGTGGCGATCTCTTGTTGCCTACGTCGAGTTAACTACTGATTCGGCGTAGGTCCATGAGTTGCCCCGGTGAGATGTCGCGTTATCTTCTATTATGTGACTGCCGTTCCGTTGCACACAACCCCGATGCTACTCTGGTCTATCGCACGTCGATCGTTTCATTAGATGTCCGTTGATGTTCCGTATGCATGTGTCATACACGCCGATAATGCTTAGTGTGCTTGAGCGGTGTGGGAAGAAATACACGGTGGTATATTTAGCAATTCGTATGTCTGGCCATAGGATGATGCGTCATTTTGTATTTTGTTATTCAAGGGCAGCAATGAGTATTGACTAGCATTGACATTTTGTCCCTGACATTTCGATAAGCAGTGGTGAAGGTAGACGGCGCAGTTATGAATAGGGCAAACATGCCAAGACGCTATTGAGGTATCGAGTGAGCAGTGAATGGTATGCATCACACTGTCAAGGACACGTATTGATCAAGCAAACAAAAACGGCATGCTAGGTTGATAAGATGGTGGATATCATGTATGAAAACACAGCTTACCGTCCAGTTACCACCTAATAATTAATTTATTCTTGCCCCTAGTCAACTCATCAAAAGCCAGGCATAAAGTAATATGCCATACCACCAAACCTGACAAGAGCCAGTCTCCGTCTAACCGCACAAACCACAAGTGTCTGGTACTGAGGCGTCCCAGAAGGCCGTGAGCCGCCACAGAGCGTCACAGTTGGTACCGTCACGCTGCGTAACGGTATAATGAAGTGACGCCGGCGCACCGTGACGTGACGTTATGCTGCCGTGACGGTGCTGAGCGCGCGAGGTCCCCCGACCCGGAGACGGGGGTCGGCAGAGCGGATGACAACAGGAGGGGAGCGGAGGCCCGGTCATGGTAGTCAGAGTGGAACGATACGACTGAGGGCGCTCGTGGGCGATTAGGGATGAGCTAGGACGGTTTTAAACGGATTACGCTGATCATAAGTTGTCTGTTGTGAAAGGCTGAAAAGGGAAACCTGCTGAGCGATTTACGACAAGCAACAAGAGTGAGCAGTTGTCGCTAAAACCGGGACTTTAATGCATTAACATCGAGCCATTGGTGGTTCGACAAGCGAACGGCGAACATTAGGAGGTGAGCGGCTGCCGGCTATCATGAAGATTTAACACTGCGCACTTCGCGGCACTGCAATTTTTCACATGAATTAAATTGTTGCATACCTCCCTTCACCATTGATAAATAGGCATATCCATTCAATCAGCAGCTATACACGTGTGAAAATGTGAGCATGGTCCAGTGAAGTGGGATGAAGGTGGCCGGCTCCGAACAGCGGCGCTCTGTTGCCTCACAATTGTGAGGTCCATGGGGTGGAACGGCCCGGAACGATCGGACCCGGCCTTGAACCGTACGTGACGAGCGGCTGTGACTGTGAATTGAACTCGGCGAGACAATTATATGGCACGAGCGCTTATTGGGGGCTCCACGACGGCGATTCGTCACCTGACTGGACGTAGATTTGTCGGCCCGCCCCGTCACGCGGGTCAAACACCTGGAGTGACACCATCCCCTCCGGCCACGTAACGCGTGTTGCGATGTCACGTGTCATCTGACAGGCGTGTCATGACCGCTCGGACGGATGTAGGGATGCGGCGGACCCCGCCGGATGTGACAGCGGGACCCGGATCCCCCTGTGGAGACCCGGACCCTCACCGCCGCGCCGGTCCGTCACGCCCGTACCCAATTACGTCAGTCCTCCAGTCAGGTGATCCACATCACACGTCACACGTAACGCCGCCCGTCACGTCACAGCCGTCACGCAGGTGGAGTACGTCACGCTGAGGCAAGAAGTGACGTTTCGCAAATGTGGCTCGGATTTGCCGGAACAAAACTGCGAGAGGAAATATATTGAAGCATTGCTAACGTTTAAACGGCATTAAAAGCAAGTGTGAGAGGCGTGAGTAACATTTAAGAGAAGGGTGAGAGAGGGAGAAAGAAAAGGGATAAAAAGTGCTTACCTATGGAAGCAGGTAATAGGTACACCTTACACGATGAAACTACGTCGAGCGGCGAGCACGGATGATTCGTGAGCTTACATATAGATGGTGAAGAGACGCTATCCTCCCTCATCGCAAAAATCGTGATAAAGCAGGCGCACCTGGCGGCTGGCTTCACTAATGGCTGTAGGGGAGAAGGTGTAGGGCGGTCCCTGTTACCTGTTGAACGCTGTCGCTCGGTGCTCCATTACTGACGGAGTGCCTAGCATGTAAGGACATCCACCCACATGCACCGACGTGCCTGCCATCTAGCGGTCCGACACTGGCGTCACCAGGTCCGTGAAGGCGAAACTGTCGGAGAACGGGCAACTGAGGGCGGCCAAAGAGGCAAAGAGCAAATTATGCAGGGAAGTATTTTTAATTGTTCTGTGGTATACGCTATACAGCGCAACTGCATTTGGTTAATCATTTTGCATAAAACAAATAAAACGAATAGATACCGGACACATTCATGAAACGGAACGGAGGCATTTATGAAACGAAACCGTTTCACTGAGTGACCATGCGGATTGCTTTTTGATGTCCTTGTTTGGACAGCCACAATCGGAATCTATTCACTCACTTCTAAGAACTGTTGGACGAGCGCAGTCTTCTCAGCCGGTTTCTCAGCAGGAGATGCATGTTTGTGGCAGAAATTATCCCATAAGGAACTCAATAGCCCTCGTTCCGACAATGGACTTCATTTACCGCTCTCTAAAGCCCCGAGTTAATCTCGGTCCGGACTCAGCAAACTTGCGCTGGATTCCAAACTTACTGAGCTCGAAGTGCTGATCGTGGTCGTGGGCGTGCATTTCAATGGTTCAGGAGTACCCGATCTGGCATGGTAGGTACTGATTCTGATGTTTTCGTTTTCACTTAGCACAGCCGTTGATCTGCAGTGCGAAGAGAAGTTAGCACTATGTAAGCGGTAAGTACCTAAAAAGCACTAAGTACTTAGAAACGGTCCATTTTGAATGAATCATGCATTGCTAGTCAATAAATATTCACAGTTTTCTTTCATGAGCGCCATGGCCCCAGCCTCAGTGGAAAATTAGCTGGGAAACGATTAATTTCGTTTCATTTTCCTGCTTGTGCCCAGTGCCTCTTCCTGGTAAGTGCTAGCACGGATTAGCCTATAGGACTCGCCTATAACTGAACCACGGGGTGTGAAGGGTAGACTGTCCCGCAATGCACTCGAGTGGTGCGGGACTGTCTACATTGAGGCTGAAGTAGTAAAATCGCGGGTGCTCGTTTCGATAATGAGAGCGAGACGCGGCTTTGGAACCATTATAATCGAGCAAAACGACACACATCAGTCTTTGATGTTTAATCATATCGCGATCTTGAGACAGAATGCCTTGGCTGGAGATCAGGAAAAAATATACCCATAACAAACAAATGAAGCGAAACAGCGTTTAATATTTATTTACCTTCATTATAAAAATAGTACAAATGTCGAACAGTCATAAGCTTGCCGGACAATCAGCCATATGCAGGAAACGGCTGAAAGACGTGATCAGGGCCTAAAACGCATACGTATTTACAATTAACCCGCGCCTCACTGGGGGGCTATTTATAGCCCCCTCCCGTTTTTCTGCAATAACTTCCAAACCGCTCGACGGATCGACGCTAAACTTTCAGTACCTTTGGCTGTATCAATTTGACACCTTGTGTCAAAATTTGAACTTCGTAGCTACCATAGGTCGGCCGGAAATGACGTCAGAGTGACGTCATGTTCGTCCGATTTCGACGCAAAACATTGAACCACGGCAATCGCTCCCAAGAGCTCAGTTTTTAAGCTAGATCCAATTTCTTTGCATGAAAGGACTCAGAATTGACCGCGCTATCAAACTGCTATCTCGGATTTTCAAAATTTCGAAAATTTCGAAAAATTTTATAATAATATTCAAAATTTATATTTTTATATTTTTTTCAAAAAGTTTTTGACTTTTCGAAAAACCCGGAATATATGTGACAGAACGCATGATTATGACTAACTCTAGCAAGTTTTAGCTAAATATCTTCAAAAATGGCCAAGTTATACGCATTATTGCAAAAAATTCACAATTATTAATTTTTCAAATCAATTTTTCAGTACGTATTTGACATCGTACACCAACATAAATGGCACCATCGTGTTCCTGAGCACAAACTGCATCCAATAGACACCTTTTTTGTTGAAAAATTATAACTTCAAAATTTGACCTTTTTTGACCTGAAAGTGACCGGACCTAAGCTAAATTCGACTCAAAATGACCTCGAATGACACAGACGACATCAAATTCGAAATATATGGCCTAAATGGACCATAAAACATGTGTCACGTGACCGACGCATGATATAATATTTTCGTGACCTGTGATGACCTGACCCTGACCTGAAAATCAAAGTACAAGTTTGGTACCCTCAAGGTATCTAGAGCATCTATTCACGAGTGTGGAAACCAAAAATGAGCCTGATCTGACTTGTAAGACGGCGGCCAGAGCCCAAAATGTGAACAAGCCAAAATGCTAATAATTTTTACTTTGACCTGACCTGTGACGTCATCGGTGACCTCGAGGTCAATGAAATTAGGTTTCGCTTGACAGTTTTTCCGGGGCTATCAGACGCCGTTTGAATTTTGACGATCGGCCCAGTAGTTTCGGAGTTAGGAGGGGGGGGGCTATGAATAGCCCCCCCCCAGTAGGGCGTGTTATACACAGACCCCAGTGGGGCGCGGGTTAAATATACATAAGCTGATTTTAACCAAATTCTTTAATATTTCTGAGACAACACACCGATTTAAGAACAAACTGTCGTGTTCTGTCACTACATCGCGCTACTTTTGAGGACTTTGTACAAGGGTGTGTTCTGCTTCTTCTGGAATAATCTTTCATACAAAATATATTTTTAAGTATGTCCCATAGAGACCCTCATAATTTGTCGTCCATTTCTACTGATTTTTTTTTTTTTTTTGTATTGCCTACTCCCCTTTCAAAAACATTTTCATTTTCAATCGTAAATAATGACATCCGTCATAAATGCAAAAAATTCGGGTAGATTTAGCCTGATTGCTCGAAATCAATCGGTCACTCAGCTAGTAAGGAGCTGGAAACAGACGGCTTTAGAACTAAAACTGACCGGATTTACTGAGGAATTGAACTTAAAGCGCCCAGATTACACATCAAACAAGACTGGTGAGTTGGACCCTTCGGCCTTCAGAGGCAAGTTCTGGTGCACTGAAACTT